CCCTGCCCAGCTCCTCCCAGGCCCATCACAGGACCCATCAGCCCATTAAAGGTCCATCTCCTCAAGCCTGGAGGAGCCCAGGGGCACAACAGCAGGCAGGAACCCAAGCTACAGACTCTCAGTGAACTGGCACCCTGCCTGGTCCCTCCCAGGGCTGTCCCTGGAGAGCCTCAGCCTCAGCATCCAGGTGTGAAACCCATCAAGATGAGTCACTGGGAGTAGCTCTCCAGATCACCTTTCAGAATAAGAGGGTTACTGCCAAGGGATGTGGGACACATTATGGGATGGCAAAGGAACAGCATTTCAGGATTGCACGGAATTTATTATTGGATGTTATAGGGAGGAAGTACAGGTGGGAAAAGGTGTGGATTTAGGTGATTTGAGGAGGAACAAGTGTGGGAAAATAGAGTGATAAGTGACAAAATGGGCCAGATGCATGTACATGGTTTATTTTAACTTCTTATATATATTTAAAAATAAACCTTACCTTTCTTTTCACAAATTTGTCCCAGTAGTTATTTGGAAAAGACCTGAAAAACACAGATAAACAAGATGACATTTTAGACAATCATGAGAAGACGCAGCAGTTACTAAGACGTCGTAAAAATTACATACTGATTTTGTTTCTAAGAGGCTCTTTGTTGTTGCTATCACCAGCTAGTCATTTGTGAAGTCACTGGTATGAAAGTTGCCAAATGGCGTTCAGCCTACCATGTTAATGTGGCTGGGAAAGAGCGGCGGGGCCGATGCCTGCAGAGCGGGCTCTAAAGCAGCTGGGTCACACAGTGCCACAAGGCAGAGAGTCGGGACTTTAAAGATGTTCCTAAAGGAGAGCCTTCAAGAGACACTAAAAGGACGCAAAGCACAGTTCACTCTTGAACTGACAGCAATACACAATGATCATCATGCTTAACAAAAGAAAATATTTTTTTTTTTTTCTTTTATGGAACGGAAATAATTTTAAAGCAAAAAACCGGGGAATGAATAAGATTAGAAATTAATAGTAAACATTAGCATAACAGACACTTGAAATATTTTGTATATCTTTCTTAGAAATATATCCCTCACAATTGTTTATTTCAGACAAGCTGGATGATCAACTATATAACTGTGGAGATTGAAGAACAATTCCTTGCAAAGCTATAAAGAGACAGAGTAGGTAAAAACTCACTGTGTGTTGATTACAAGTCTATCCCACTGTCCTTTAATATCATCTTCTGATGGCTGCTCAGTTATATACAGCCCATCAAATTCCAATTTCCTTGCCACTTCCTTTTCTCTCTTAAAAATAACCAATGGAACCTGCAGTTGAAAAAAAAGAAATATCAGGAATTATTTAAAATGAACTGATATGTCTGCAAATTTTTAAGAAAAGCTGGTTGTTATGAAAAATTAAGTATGAAAACTGAACAAAGAAAAAACAGTATTTAAAAAAATTAAAAGACTTGACAATTGCCCATAACACTGCAAAGGTATAGATACGCAAGGACCAGATCATTCAGAATCATGTAACTACAGTGTACCACTCAGCTGTAAAAAAGATCGGCAAAAACCCTGAAAAAGGATCCTTCAAATAAAAATAGTTCTTCAGTGCTACAGAGCTAGTAGCGCTAGTCCAGTGAAAGAGAGCTAAAATAAAAATAATTTTTAGTGCCAAAATATGCATTTGGGATCACACTTTTGGATTGCATTTTGATACCCAGAGGTGTTAGAGGTCGCCTTTCATTTGTTAAAGAATTCCTGAGGTTTCACAGTGGGAAGCAAAGTGGTTTCACAGCAGAGAGCAAAGAAAGACTGGAAGCAGTTAAAAGAAAAATCCTTAAATCACATTCACATTCCATATACTTAATTTGTGCTCTGTAGTTCTTTGCCAGCAGCTGAGACACCTGAGCAGTAAGGATCAGGCTTAACCTACAAAAACAGTCTTTCATCAGCTGGATGACATTCAAAATTACATTCCAAGAAGGCAGATGTAAATAAATAGTGGTCCCAGTGGAGTGGATTTTTCTTAGAAATCTGTTATTGACAAAAAATAAACCCTACCCTTCCCTGGAACTATTTCACAGGTTCCCAAAATTCACCCACACTGCATTACCCACCTTGACTGTATTACTAGTGAAGACTGGACATGAGTATACTGAAATAGTAGTAATAAAAATCAGACTACTCAAGCAACATGGTGATTGCATTAGATACAATAACAGCAGTTCCAATCTCATTTTCAGACAGCTAATTGAGAAAAATTTAGTGGACTTCATGCAGAGCAGTCTCCAGAAGTAAACACATCATACACAGACCTGCAGTTATGAAGAATTTTAATTTTGAAAGCAGTAAATCTCCAAAGACAGAGACTGAAATAATATTTACTCTTTTCTTCAGGGTTTCAGAATCAGAAAGAAGGCAATTCGTTATGGTAAATAATGACAATAATGTCTTTCCCTTCTAGTCAGAGAATAAATGTAGTTTGAAAAAAACAATGTGGGAAAGTAGCCTAAAAAGTCATAGTGGAAAAAAACCAAAAAACCTATGAGGTGGGAGAAGAGGACATTAAGCCTGCAGAGACACTTAAGGTAGAAATGAAAATCAACCACTTAATGCAGTCATATGATGACTATTTGCCTCAACTACAAATGCAGATTGTGTCTTTTTAGCATAGGAAAACTATTATCCATTGAAAGAGGAAAAGAAAAATATCAAGGACCACATAAAAGCTTAAAAAAGAAATTAAGAACTTACAATTGTAAGGACAAATGAGCAGCCATACTGGGTCATAGCACAGGTGCATTTAATTTAGTACTATCTTGCACTTTGGCCTATAGTTTTTGCCTTGGGAAGAGTGTAAAAATGGGGGAAGTACATCCCAAGTATACTCCTTCCAGCTCCGGAGTTTTATGGCATTTGGTCTTCCTAAACCAGAAGCAGCATTTTGCCCATAAAGGTGCCATGTTTATTTCTTACATCCCTAACAGAGATCTTCTGCAAGATATTCCTTTAAAAGATGCTTAAGTTCCTGCCAAAACACTGCCACCAGATTGTGTATGAAAAGCAGGCATTGTCTACAGCCACAATATGCAGTAGCCCAAAATGTCGCATAGTTTTCAAAAGACCCAGATGACAGACTAGTAACACAGACACTGTCATCTAGCTTCCTCTGGCCATGTGCATGCACAGCTTGTCTTTGATAGTCACAAGCAGTTTCTGATACAGGTTATTGCTGTAATTGTCTGGCTGACATAGTAACGGTGCAAATGCTGATCCAATGATCCACTGTTAGCCCAGCAAAGCAGGCTCCGGCCTGTAAATTCCTGAATTCACACATCATGTAACACAATGTCGTGGTTTTACCCCAGCCGGCAGCTGAGCACCACGCAGCCGCTTGTTCACTCCCCCGCCCCAGTGGGATGGGGAGGAGAATGGGAAGGAAAAAGACAAGACCTGGTGGGTTGGTATAAGGACAGTTTACTAGGATTGCAAAGGGAGAGGGGAAGACAAGACAAAACAAAACAAAACAGTACTTAACAGAGTATACGAAACTGGTGATACAGAATGCAGTTTCTCACCCGAGGACCGTACAACTCAGACCGCACGCTCAGACCTGCCCCGAAACCGGACTGTCCCCGAGCCACACGTCCTGAAGCTGCTGCTGCCCCTCCCCGGCTAGCCCCCTTTTATGCTGAGCATGATGTCACATGGTATGGAATACCCCCTTTGGCTCGTTTGGGTCACCTGTACTGTCTATGTCCCCTCCCAACTCCTTGTGCACCCCCAGCCGTCCCGCTGGCAGGGCAGTGCGAGGAGCAGAAAAGGCCTTGGCCCCGCGTAAACACTGCTCAACAACAGGTCCATAGAACAAAAACATCTCTATATTATCAGTGCTGTCTCCAGCACAAATCCAAAACATATCCCCACACTAGCTACTACGAAGAAAAATCAATCCTCTCAGCTGAAACCAGGACACACAATTTCTGTGTAGGTTACACTAACAGAATAGCGTTTCTTTACATGGTCCCTCAACCTGCTGTAAGCAAAGTTGCTATGACTTTGTTCCAATTTATACCACTCAATGGGTAGAAAAGTTGGGAGCAAGAAGAAAAAATAATGATCATTTTTTCTTACTTTCAAACAGTAATACCCTATGATGCAGAAGAATGAGATGACTGTGTGTAAGATGGCCAAAATCCGCAGCGTGGGCTCCATGTAGCCACTGCTTTCTTCCAGGACATAATGCACTGCAATGACCCTCTGGTTGTCGCTTTCCAGGCTGTTCATCTTGGTACTTTCACCAGCAGATACCACAGGAACTTCCTTTTCTTCTGTCACAGCAGAGGTGGAGACCTGTTTAAATCAGTGAATCTTAATATTGCAGCTGTATTCCTTTGACAGGAGCTTTACACTACTACAAGCTAAGTAGTATAACTGTGATACCAAGTAGTATAACAATGATACCAAGGACAATATAATCATGAGGAAAGAATTTTTTGCATAAACATGTCCACAGAGAATACCATACGGAGACCCTTTCATCTTGTTACACCAATCTGTGATAGCGTGCATTTTCTTTCTTTTTTTCCCCACTCTGACCACGGTAGCAAATTTGGGTCATGCTGAATTTTATCACATCAAATTCAAGAAATGGCACAGCCCTCTCTGAAGAAATCCAGTCAACTCCTGACATTCCCACATGTAGTCTTTATCAGCAGGGCTCTGCCAGAAACTGATTCGAGTCTGAAGACTCTAGAGCTGTAATAACAATACTAAAAATCTTGACAAGGAAGATCAGTGATATCCCAGGCAGCTTAAGATGATGTAACTTCTCCTTGCTGTACACACCCTCTCAGGGGAGCATAATGGCACAAGAAAACATCTCAGCTGACGTGTGTTAGTTTAAGTTGCCAGTGAAGGCTGGACTTGGCTGACTCACTGTACTGTGAAACGGAGCATCTGAGGCATGGGTATGCCATTCATTTCTGTCACAGCACAGAACTTTGCAAATAGCTATTTGTGTACTGGAAGTCTATTATTACTTCACACACACACACTTTAGCTTTCATCATGTTAGATTGCTGAAGCGGCAGTATGAAGCAGATATTTCATCTGTTAGGTTAGGCAGTTTTACCATAGTATACCGTCTACAAAACCTGAATGTTTTTCAGTGTACAACTTGGAAAGTAATATTTTGTCAAGTTTACCTTATAGAAAAGCAGAATGAAGTTGATGGCAAAAGCAACAAACAACGCCAACATCCTCATGTTGTAAAAGTTTCTCGCAAAATAATTCTGAAAATAGAAACAGAAAATATACTTTGCCTAATAATGATACTGCAATCATTATTAGGTTGAGGGGGGGGGGGGGGGTGTTTGTTTCCTCTATGGAGCTTTTTATAGAATTATAAATAGAAGAAGAAAAAAAAAAGAAAAAAATCAAACATTTTGAGCGATGTATTGTACAAATTCTCTCCTACTCCGTATGTGCAATAATGGATAAAGGACCGTTCGTTTAACTCCATGCAGAAAGGGATGAAGGATTTCTAATTCTCTCTTACATCTTTTCCATTATCCTCTCAATACACTTAGAGACAACACAGAGATATCACAATGTAATAGTAATGTGACAGTAATACAGAAATCTCTATCTTCCCTGTAACTCAATATTCTTGCATATGGCAAATCATTACTCTTACCAAGAAAAAAAATGTTTGCACATTTTTTTTATTTTAAATCTTTTTCTATTCCAAAATCAATTGTGTTTTTACCAGATCAGCAAAAAGTTCATCTGTTACCTAAGTACCATGAGTAGAAAGCTTCTCTCACAATATGATGCTATCAAAAGGATTGTAGAAATGTACCTTTTCCTTTCCTGACAATTCACAAACCTTTTTAGCACATATTTGGAATGCTTTAACTCTCAATGGAATTCCTCCATTTTTCAGCCCTAACCATAGATGACTATTAGGGAATTATTAAATGAGACTATTAGAAGAAAAATTAAATTAAATTTGCGTGACTGCTACATCATTAGCCCAAAAAATGAATCTCGGTTCAAAAGCAAAACTTAAACACGTAACTCCTTATTAAGATTGTGACTGCAGTTTTGTAGGTTTGCTATGGTAGTCATCTTAGAAGTAGGTTGTCCCTACACAATTGTATCTACTGAAAGGGAATTTCTTTTTGCTTTGCATTTCACATTAGCCTTAAAAAATATGTGTGGAATCTCCTAGCGAATAAAAGCATGGATTTTAAATAGTTCTACAGCAAACTCAGCGATATCATATTTTACTGAGACACTCTCAGATACAGTTATATTATTTTAATTACTCTTATTTTCCACAGGTTTTGAGAAGTTTCTCAAATAATAACTTGCTATTTCACATAAAAGATCTGTAACATCTTTTCTTATGAGTTTTAGGCTGCATGTTGTATCTTAATAAATTATTTTCATAGGAGAGCTTCTAATTTCCCAAAGTTGTCTCTCAGGGAAAGAAAAATCTTACAGGCTCACAAGCTGCTGTGAAAATTCAGATCATTTTATTCACATATAAATGCATGGCTGTTTTCCAATGATGGACAGGCATCTCTGAAGATCTGGGTTTTGGACAATCATTGTTTTTCTAAGAATTAATATCTTGTCTGCTAAGTTATTTGTGTGTTTCTTTTCTCTAACATTCCAGTTAAACCTTTGCCTTTATGTCCTTTTTATGGATGACGGTGGATACAAAATTGAGGTTCATCAGATGCAAATTTGTCTTTACATTGGTAGAATAATATGGTGGTACACATCCCTGCCAACAGCTAAACAGTCTAGAGAACAGCTTACAAGAAGCTTCTGCTGGTATGCAATGATTTTCTTCCAGAAAGCTGATTCCTGAACTTCTGGTTCTCCATATCTGTGAGCATGAAGTTGTCTTAATTTCTGTTTCCCTTTGTCTTCTTTAGCTTTCTCCTCTTTTTCTCCATCTTCTCCTCTTAGGACACAAACGAAGCCAAAATATTATGTCAAGTTAATAAAATTGCTAAACCAAAAATTAAAATCACACCCTGAAAGAAACCATTGCGTCTCTTCGTGAGGCTCAAGTAGTCATGACTCATGCAGTTCACACACATATCCCTCTTCAGCACAAAGCGTTGGTGAGGGTGACAGTCTGGTTAAGTCTACAGATAATTAAACTTACTGGTTTGGCACCTTGAAGTGAGGATGCTAACTGGTAGAGGCAGGTAATGAAGAATCCACCAACCTTATTACCTGAGGGTCTGCTTCATAATTGTGCAGCTAATACTTGCACTGACAAAAGTCTGGAAGTTGAGAGCTTATCTGTATGAGTGCCTATATGTCTAAGTGCTCCCCTCCAACCTCGTGCACTTGAACTATCTGGTTCCCAACAAGGTTGCAAAAATCTTTGGTTCTTCTTGCATTTACAAGCCAAACCAAGTTTAAAATTCTGCATTTCTGTTCACCTGAGGAATTCATAAGTACCCACTCCAGGAGGACACAGGAATAAGAAAGCTTGGCAGCATTTGATGTGTGATTATCACAATACCCCTAATTACAGAAAGCCATAGTTACTGGGCTGCCTTCTCCAAACACATGATCTAAAGAACTGTGAATTATCTTAGAAGTTAATTTGACCCGACAGCATGATAGATGAAAGGATCACAGAAGTCAATTTGAAGCCAAAACAGAGTTAGAGGCAACTTATAAATTACATTATTAATTTCTCTGTACCTATCTACAGATAGAATAACTGATGTCCTAAGCTGTTTCTCTTACTAGAATATACTCAACAAACTTTCACTTGAAAGTTCACTTGAAAGTTTGTCTTATGTTAGGTGTGACTTCACAGCAGCTAACAGTGCCAGGCACTGCACTGCTCACAGAGGAACTGCAACTCACGCAGTCAAGTGGAAGAATCAACAGTGAAGTGACCTTCAAAAGTCAGCAAGACTCTCCTTCAGAAAGTTATACTGAGTTAGAAATTTGCTTTACTGATTTGGAAGAGGAGTTTTTTACTGGCAAGTGTTTGTCATCCCAGGAGAGCAATAAGGATAGAACTTTGAACTAAGGGACCAACTTACAATTTTGACAGTGACATGTTGACTACAGGAACTGTACACGTATCAGAATTGTACATGTATCAGGAACCATAAAATACAGGGATGGAGTGTCATACTTTTTACTGGTTAAAACCAAGCACTACGTTTTGCTTTCCACTATTTTTATTCTAAGCTCGTCTCATTAACACTAGATTTTAACCTATCTTAAAAAGATTAAAATGATCATTTATCAAATGCCAACACTTGTTCTCCATAAAGATGTGAAAGTACTCAGTAATCCATTAAAATTACATTGGAATATTAAGGTTTTGCAAAATCCAAATAACTCAAAACAGGTCATAGCAAATGGCAGGGGCAAAACAGATTCAGTCTCTACCACTGATGGATAATAAGCCTCTGGAACCCAAGTGCTCTTACAATTTTTCAAACAGATTTTCTTTGAGCTTTCAGACTTGCCAAAACCAACTTAATCAAACACATTGTATAAGAAACTAAATTCACATTACAAAGGATGCTGATAGAAGAGGAAAAATCATAAAAATCTCTGAGTGATGCAATTTACATGGCTTTTCCTTGCAAACATGCATGGATGTGGAGAATGGTTAAAAAAAAATCCTAACTGTGGAACATGAATGGACACAAAATTAAAGGCAAAGTAGTAAGTACATATGAAGCTGATTTTTTAGTGAAACAAACCACATTTCACAGGATGAGAAGTTAAAGTAATACATACTCTGCTTTTTCAGGTTCAGATTTTGTTTCCTCCTTCTCTTCCTTTTCATCTTCTTTCACCTGCTCCTACAGAAAGTCACATTAAAAAAGTGTCTAAACACTATGATACAGTACAGAATTAAAATGATAGTGCAGAATGTTAGACTTTTTTTTTAAACAATTGAAACCCTGAGAGATGATCTTTCAATTTACATTAATGAAGAGACATTTTAACACTGAATTAAAAGAAAATCAAACCACCTTGTACTTAGACAACTCTGTGGTAATTCAAGTTTATGACATCAGAGAGGGTAAACACCAGTGACTATACGTGATTCCTTAAAAAACATTTCACAAAACCCAGAAAAACATAGATGCAAGTTTTGTTTCAAGACTGTATTTAACATACAAAAGAGGGAAACATACAGCAGAAATAAAAGACAATTACCTGGATTTTTTCCTGCACCTCAGGCATCGGAGCTAAGGAGGGAGTGCTCAGTAAATCACTCAAACCAGCATTTGGATTGTGAGGGATCAATTTATACTGTCCACCTTCTCGTTTCAAATCCAAACCAAATATATCTGAGAGTAGATCACTCTCATCAGATAAAGTTCTCAGATCTGTCAGGTCTTCTGTAGGCAATGCAGCTTCTGTTGGCTTCCTTTCCCCCTCTTCTCCCTCCCCACGCACTTCATCCTGAGTGGGATCTGGCATATTAGCTAATAGTTCAGCCACCTTGATTTTCTTTGCTCCTTCTACTAGGCTTCCTCCAAGCAGCAAACTACATATGATGCGAAAGAAGCCCCGGATGACACTACAAGCAAAATGTAGTAAGCCCATCAAAATGCTCCAATAGGAAGAAAACAAAGCCATGACCATGTCCTTCATGGTCATTTTCTTCACTTTTTTCATCTGTTTCTTTAGGCTCTTCACGCTGAGCATTTTCATAAGAGTCATTAAATTATACTTGAGAGCTACTAATGCTGACTTCATGGTCACAAGAGAGAAGAAACCCATTCTAGGATCCTGTTCCTCAGGCTTATCTTTCTCATTCTCCTCTTTATTTGCTGACCTTTCATTCAGATCTGACTCAGAGATCTGGGCAGCCAGTTGCATTTCAAAGATGGTATCCTCACAGAAATTAACAAAAAGCTCCATCTTTTCTTTCTCCCCTCCTTCATTTACAACATCAAATATAAATTGTCTCTTTGACTCTTTTACCTGAGGTTTCTCCCACTGAGTCCGACTTGACTCACTTATTTCAAAATAAACTCGTTCAATGCGCTTCGCACTGCCCATGATTTCTATGCGTCCAAGGAAAGGCTGAAAGTAATTCAGGACACTCTCCGACAGTTCAAGAAAAGTTTGCAAGCGGGTATCATGGGGCATGTGTTCTGACAGGTTGGTCAGGAGAACAGCAACATTGAAACCAATGTCTTTGGCAGGTTCATGGAATCGTTTCACAAACTCCTCGTAGTCCAGAGTCTCATTCTCATCGGTTTCAGCACATGACAGCAGAAACTCAGTTTCGGACTGGGTGTAATGCTTATGGCTTTCCATTGCCTTGTGAAAATCCCTCTTTGAAATTATCCCTTTACCATCAGGGTCATATTCTTTAAATGCATCAGAGGAAGTCAAATCCTTCAATTTTAAGAACATATCAAAAAACTTCAGAATCATCTCCACATTGTTGGACGATTCCACAAGCATATCGACCATCTGCTTGCCAATAGTTCCATTCACAACATTACCTAGATGTGATGACATGAAGTTAGAGATATTGATGGCAGCAAATGTTATGGCAAAGAAAAGTGTCTAATAATGACTAGCGAAATAATCAAACAGTAAGAATGATATACTATTGGCTAACACACTCACGTAAGATAGCTAGCTGTAAAATCAGGAATCTTTTACTAATAACACTACCCTAAGACTTGGAAAAAACGTAAGTGAGTATTTGCCATTAAAGAAAGGAAGAACTAACAAGCTCTACAGAGAGACATCTGTTACAATACATGAGATTGCATACTATGAATTTTACTATAGTGCAATATAGACAGAACTAGTGTCACATGAGTTAGGATGAGTAGCTTAGTATTGGGTCTGGCTGAGATGGAGTTAATTCTCCCCACAGCAGCCCTCATGGTGCTGTGCTGTGTATTGGTAGCTAGCAAACTGTTGATAACACACCAGTGTTTTGGCTACTACTGAGCAGTGCCAGCACATATCAAGGCTGTCTTTCCAACAGTTGGGAGGCGACACAGCTAGGACAGCTGACCCAAACTGACCAAAGGGATATTCCATACCATATGACATCTGCTCAGCAATAAGAAACTGAGAATAGGGAGAGGAACAGGGCGGGGGCATTCATTGTTTTTTGGTGGTTTTTTTTTTTCAATGTTTGTCTTCCAGAGTAAGGGGTACGCATACTGAAGCCCTACTTCCCAGGAAGTGGCCAGACATTGCCTGCTGATGGGAAGCAGAGAATAATCTTTTGCTTTTTGCTTTGCTTCTGCATGCGGCTTTTTGCTTTAGCTACGTTAAACTGCCTTTATCTTGACCCATGAGTTTGAGGTTGTTTTTCCATCTTCCTTTCTCCCCTCCCTGCCTTACTGAAGAGGGGAGTGATAGAGCGGCTCTGGTGGGCACCTGGCCCCCAGCCAGGGTCAACCCACCACAGTTACTCATGAAGAACAGCCTACAATACTAAGAATTTACTTTCCTTCTCAGTGACCTTCTATAAGCAAAGCATGCTACACTGCAATCTATGCTACATTTACTGCCGTCCCAGTTTTCTCAAGAAAATAAATGTGATAGGATACATGTAAGAAGCAAAAAGGAAAACCAGATCTTTGGATCATCTATGCTTGGTTAGTCCAGTATTGGAAGCACTAATACAATACTATAAAGGAGCTAAAGAAATAGTATTTCTCGACAATGATTACGTTATCTGGGGAATCATAATTTCAGGTACTAGCTATAAAGAACATTGAATCTAGTCACTAGATGAATCAAAATCTGTTCCTTATGGCTAAGATCACTACCAAAATAAATGCAATATAGTAAAGGTGTTAATAAAATGACTGATAAATGGTTCAGTTTCTAGAACTCAGGTTTCCAACTTCAATAGTGAAAAAACCTTTTCACCTAAGCCAAAAGAGAAGCCAAGTTCATGGAAACAACGTAAAACTTTTACTAGAGTTGGATTTTATAAAATTCTGACATTCAGAATTAATATAAACTATATCAACTACACTATATAAATCTCCCATTCACTTTAAGACCTAACAACTCCTCTCACAATTGAGACATGAAAATTAAAAACATGGAGGAAATTGGAGCATTGTATCTCACATGAAGAAAATCACAAAGGTAAAAGCTTTGCTAGAACAACTGTGAAAGAGGATTTTAAATTAAATTTTTACTACCTTCCAGCATTGACAGCAACATGACCACCATATCCTTCTGAAGATCCATTAATTCTTTCAATAATTCAATTTGACTGGAATCCTAAATAATGAACACAATATATATAAGATATCTATTGACTTCTTTGATATTTGTGCATGCATATTTCACTCTGTAACAATGAGACTTAGAAATTAAGAAGCTAGTAGTGTGAAAGTTGAGAATACAGTGAAAAAATATTTCATTGCTTGATTCCTCACTGTACATTTATGGGATCAAACATTTACGTGATCATCTGTTTTAAAGACAGTAATTTAAGAAAGACAAAGTGAAAACTGAAGGTGATGAAAAAATTTTAAGCAATAACTTGGTATGTCAAGCTCATAAATGATGACTCTGTAATGTTTCATGTCAGCTAAAATATTGTTGCTGTTGGTGTAATCTAGTTTATAGCTATGAAGACTTGAAAAACAACAATGGCAGCAGCACATAGACTTCAAAATGTAACATGATTCAAATTGAGTGATTCCACTATAGGCCACTAAAATTTTTTTGGGAGAAAGAAAAATGAAATAAAATTTCAAAATATTTATTGATAAAGTTGCATTAGTATATCCTTAAATAGACATGATATTGATTCTTTTAGCCATCTTTTATCTCATTTGGCTTATCAAGTTTACTATTTTGCTTGCCAATGATTTCAATCTGGAGTCTATCTGGATAGATTTATTCAATTATTTAATTTCTTCCTCAATGACACATTGTTATGTCATGCTGTTCATAAGGTAAACTTAAGCATTGCTGGACTTCAATAATTAGTACAACAAACTCCAGGTACATTATGGCAATTTGGATCTTGGATTGAAAACAGCACAAGTTGGAAATAATGAAGATTTCTAATTGATTTGTCTTGTAAGTTTTCATTATAAATCTTCTTACTTCAAAAGTTGCTTACAACCTGGATGATCTTTGTTCATTTAGACTTAAAATTTTACTTTCATTTTCTGCCTAAAGAGATTTCTTAGGAAGTATTACCAATATCACCTTGTTGCTTCCTAGTATAAGACTAGAGAAGGAAGGTGCAAAAACCAAACAAACACAACAGTGATTTAGATTTGTTCCTATTTAGTTCTTGTTTCAAATATTCTTCAAAACTGCTCTGGAAACTCCTGATTTAAAACAAAAAGCAAATACCTAGCCCAGGCAGGCCCCTCTTACAGACAAAAGCCATATGGCAATTCCTTATGAATCCATTCAGCCACACTACACCTTTGAAAACTGGTATTCTAATAGAATCTGAAAGGCTTATTAATATATTCTTGCAATAAATATAAACGAACAAAAGAGCCCACGTCTATTCTGGTCTTTCCCAAGGCTCTGCTGGCCCCCTAAAGGACCTCCCAAAAGTCAAGAGCTTGAGCTTCATGCAGGAGAAAGACACCATGGTTATATTTTACAAAAAGTTAGTAACTTAAAAAGGAAAAAGTAAAACAAAGATACCTGAGACAGCTTCATCTGCATGTGGGCAAACACATGAAGAAAACCAACTACTGCATCCCATAGCCTGCTGTGTGCCAGACTTTGCTGATTCCCTGTACATGGCCCCTATTGTTCGGCGGGGGGGAGAAAAAGAAAAGCAGAGTTGATTTGCAAGGAACTCAACAAAAACAGGAAGGAAGATATATAGGAAGTGCATAGCTCGGGGCTGTCCTTTAGAAACTGCTATGAAAAATTAAACATATATAGAATTATCCATTTAATAACAGCACTGACTGTAAGCAATGCCTATTCCTAATAACCATTCTGCCTCTGTTTAAGCCAAGTCCCAATTTACTAATTCCGAACCACATAACGTATATCTGCTTGCAATTTTAAACTGCAAATGCTAAAGGGGTACATATCTTCAAGCTGATTCTTCCCTATGTAGTTCTGTAAATCAGAAATAACTTTATAAAATGTTAATGCAAAATTGGCGTAAGGGATTAGAGAATCAGACTCTTGATTTTTTTTTTTTCCGCAGAATATTCTAGCTGTTGTAGAACACAGTGCTAAAGAATATTCTTTCAAAAATTCCAACTTCTGACAAGCAGGAATACAAAAATAAATGCATCTATTTTATATTTCTATCTACATTATATCTACCTACATTATGTCTTCATGTCAAAAGCATGATTAATTTTCTTTCAAATCCATAAAATTCCAATGAAACTAATTTACCTGGATATACTCTGTAAGAGTATTGAAAACTTGTTTTGCAACCTGGATGGCTTTGGAAAAATTTCGTTGTCCTTGCTCATCAATAACATCCTTCCCAGAATAATACCAATAGAAATCACTAATGGATTCCTAAAAAGCAGTTGTGAGAAGCAGAAAAAGATAATGTAATCAAATTGCCTCTATCTGGTTATTAATCATGATAAGAAAGATAACATTAGCTAGCATCCTAGTTCTAAACAGTATATAGTTTATAAAGGTTTTAAATGACCCCCCCCAAACGATTCTCAGGTATTACTTCAAGAATTGTAGTTTCGTCTCAAGGGATTCAATAGGAAAACAAATAAAGTGAAATAAATAATTAAAAAAACCCACAGCAAACCTCAAAATAAAATTAAAAAAAAGAAAATTAGATCTCTTGGTATCTGCTGTTAGAAATACAACCACCTGCATTCTGAAAAGGAGTAGTCAATAGTACTACCATGCTGCATGCTGTTCATTAAACAATTTGTCTTTATACTGCGTGCTTGACACCTAGTCAATAGTGGGAGCAAATATTGCTTTGTAAGCGTGATTCCTCTTTCCGTTTTCCCCAAAGGCGAGCTTATTAAAGTTTCAACAAAGCAAGCAATGGAATTAAAAACATTGTATTGTCCCTACAACTTCTACAGAATGCACAAGGATAAAAAGCAATGTTGATAACTGCAGCAAGTTAAAACCCAACAATTTTAAAAGTCTGGAATTCTCAGACCAAATAAATAAAAGGTTAAAGGGAAAACTTAACTAGATAAATAATAAAAAAAAACAAAC